GGGTCCCTCTCTCCTGCTTCTGTGGAGTTTTTCGGGTGCTGGAGGAGAGCGGGGTGGCCGGGTCTGGGTGCTGGGGTCCTGCGAGATGTTTCCATCGTGGCAGAGGCAGGAGACCTGGGGGGAGACAGGCAGGGTCAGCCCCGGCTGCCGAGACGCCGAGGTTTTTGGCTCAGCCAGACCCAAAACCGCGTAAAATCCGGCGCTGGGCTGGGAAGAGCCGTGTTGGGGCTCTGGCTCCCCAGCCTTCGTGCTTCGCATTCGCAGACTTCCCCGCAGCCGCAGGGGTTTGCATGGGATGTGCTGGGAAACGTCCCCACACCTGAGCCCGGGACCCTCAGCGTTCCAAAAAAATCACGGCTTTTTACCCAAAGTATGCTTCTCTGGGAGGATGGAGAAGGAAAGCAGCCAAACTGCTCGTCTCTCCTTCCCCTCCATGGGGGAGACCGGCGTTACCCTGTGATGAACCGTGCCCTCTCCAGCCTGGAGGATGACGGGGTGTCCCCAGGGCGGGTGACGCCGAAGGGGACCCTGCGGAGCTGCCGGGCGCCAGTCGGGAGCCGGGGGCCTTGGGGGGGTGACCAGGGCCAGCCAAGCTGGTGGCCTGAGCTGGACCTTGGGTGGGGGGAAACGGTTCCTGCAAGGCCTGGAGGAGACAAGAAACGGCTCCAGTGGGTCCTGAGGGACCCAGCATGGGGACAGTCCCCCCATGGGGCAATGGCTCCGTTCTGCTGGCCGTGGGGCTCCCTGGGCTTCCTCCCCACCACCCCCAGGTCTCTGGTTTTATTTCATCCCTCCCCTCCTCCCCGGCTTTGCCTCCTGTTTTTTCTCTGCGCAAGAGCGGAGACCTTTAACTCTCTGGAGAGGAGCCTGGAGAGGAATAAATCAAACCCTCCAGTAATTCAGCCCTGGGCATGGCTGAGGTAATGCAGCCGGGGGCTGGCGGGCTTCTAGGGGCAGCCCCTGCCCACCCTCTGCGCAGGCAGGGGCTCTCAGACAGGACAGAGTGTGCCCAAGCTGGGTGGCAGAGAGAGAAAAAATCCCCAAATCCCCATGTGTCCCGTTGCTGAGCCTTTGGGACCCTGGTCTGAAAGGTCTGTGGCCGGCGCTGTGCACATCCACGGGGCTCAGGGGCAACTGTGCCCGGCACGATGGGCAAACAGAAAGGCTGGGATCCAACCGGTACGGCACGGGGATGTCTTGGGATGCAGGAAGAAAGGTTATGAGCATCTCAGCCCAGCCCATATAGAACTGAATAACCTCCCCCCGCCTCACAGCATGGCCGTGTCTCAAGCCAGGAAGGTCTAACACCAAATAACGTGCTCATGGTGTGATCTGAAGGTCAGGGAAGAGCCTCCAGAGGAGCCCAGCCCCGCTCCAAGCCTGGCACTGGGGACAGACCTTCACGGGTCTGGCGTGGACCAGACACGGAGCAGGGACACGCACCCACCCCCCCGTGAGCCCGTCCCCAACGCCCTCCCCTCCCTCCGCTGCATTAACACCCCGGTCTCTGCTCAGGTACAGCCCTATAAAAGCAAATTAAATGCAAAGCCCGTCTCGTTAACGCATCTTCCTCCGCTCCCCCTCAGATCCCAGGTGCATTCCCGTGACATTTGGCGATGAAATACGGGCTGGTTTCAAAGGCATTCCTCTGGGCTGAGCCAAGGCAGCTGAGATCTGCTGAGCCCGTCTCCTCGCGGGGATCGTAAACGGGCCGGCATTTCAATGCTCGCGAGGGCTGGCTCCCTAATTTTATCTCTTTTAATTTTAACTAATCCTGAGTAGCGCCGAGACCCTGCCTTCCTGCGATGGAGAGGGCCCTGGTCCCCCCGGGCAGGTTCGGTGTTGAGTTCTTCCTTCTTTAATAGAAAGACGGAAGTTTTTGCTGGAGAAAGGGTTTTCTGAGGGTGAAATTTAGTGCAGCCCTTTGCCACGTCCTTGTGCCGGGTCCTGTGCCAAGGGACCTGGAGTCTGTGGCTCTCCCTGCTCCAGGCTGAGCTCCGGGAGCTACGGCAGAGCAGATGTGGGACACCAAGGCCACCCCTTGCTCCTGCACAGCAGTTGGGGTGTCCCTTGTGTCCCCTGGCATGGGGGGGGCTGGTGGTGGTCACGCTGAGCATCCCCAGCCCCAGCTGGTCCTGCACCCAGAGCCCCAGCACGAGATCAGATCTGGGATTTTGGGGGCTGTCCCACATCCCCCAACCAGGGCAGGTCCTCCTGCCCCAGGGCACCAACGCTGGAGCCTTCAAGGCACCAAACATCTCCTCTTCTACCTGTCCATCCTGCAGACCCTGTGGGTACCCCGGCTCTGCGCTCCTGGGGGAAGACAGTGGCTTTTGGAGGAACCTTTTTGGCCTCTAAACCTGCTCCATGTCAGGGCAGGGAGCAAATCCCAGAAGCTTCCTGTGTGGACGGGAGCACGGCTGGGACTTAACATGGAGAACAGAAAAATCACCCAGGCAGAGATTTCCCAGGGTTTGGGTAATTCCTTGTCTCTTCTGGGAGCTCAAACCAAAAGTGAAAGCAAGATGTTTCCTCACCCACCAGACCTGGCTACGGAGGAGCCCAGTCCTGGGCTTGCTCTAACCCAGCCTGGGGGTCCGGGGCCACCAGTTTAACCAGCAGTGAGCGAATGGACCCACTTCTTGCTATTTTTAAAGGACTGAGCCCGGGTGGCAAGGCAGGCGGGACCATAATTTCTTGCCAGGCTGCAGAGGGGTCTCAGCTTTCTGAAGCAGATGCTGCTTTAAACGCATTTTCTGAGCAGATCTGAAAAGGGAAGGGAGCTCTCCCCGAGCTCCTTCAATACCCTGGTGCTTTAATGCTCTGCAATGAGACGTATTTATAAATAAAAGAGAATGAAACATCCACCCGACAAAGCAGACTCCAAGCAAGAGCAACAGTCCCCAAAGGGAAGATTTATCCAAGGTCTTTCAGGAGAGACAATTAAGTGAGGGCAACGCGAGAAAGACAATAAATCCAGGGAGACAAATGAAGGGCAAGGAACTTACAACTCCGCCAGTCTTTCCCCCCCAGCAGTTTCAGTTTCCAGCCTCATTTTCTCCTCCAGCAGGAAAAAGAAACCATTTTAATGTGCTCAAGACTGTGCTGAAAAACCGTGAGCTTGGGCGACTTCAAACATTATTTTTCTTGCCTGAGGGCTCAATCCCTCTTTCCCCGGATGATGTCTCCTGGTTAACAAGGGCATATCCACATCCAGCTCTCCCAGCGCCCTTTGATATTTAATAGGCTGGGTTCTAGCAGGGACCAGTTTGCCGGCGCTCGCAGCAGCTTTTAGCTGCTTTACATTATAAAATTACAGTCCCATTGCAAGTGCTGGGTTAATTCATTTACGGGAGGGAGCTGCAGCCTTTCCAACCCCGGCATCGCTTCCCCGCTGGCTCTTCCCTCTTCTTGCTCTTTCTTTGCTTAGCAAATCCTCCTCCCAACGCTCCCAACTGGGAGCTGCTAATTGGTACCCGAACACCGCTGCAGGTTGGCACAAAGCAGGTTATTATCTATTCATCTGAAGGATGCTTTGCCTCGAGGCAAGAACGGGAGCCGCCTGGGATGAATATTAACCAGCGATGAGAAGCACACTGAGGGTACCGCGCGCTCAGGGCACCAGGGATTTCCACACGGAGGCTTTTTCATTTAGCAGAGAGGTCTTTAAGATCGCTAAGGGTCTTTAATTCCTCTGTTTATCATGGGAACACAATTCCTGCCAAGCACTCGGCTTAAATAAACAGGTCTGGAAGTCAAGGGCCGGGCGCGGGGCTGCACGTCAGCCCACACACACAACCGGGAGCCGACACACGTGTGTGCACCGACAGCCCCGCGGCGGTGGGTGGTGGCCAGGGGACTCCAAACCCCCCCACGAGGTGAAAATCCCTTTACCTGGGCTTTAATGATGTGCACAGCTCGTTAGCACAGACCTGGAGCTTTAAAAACCACCCAGGAAAGGAACCCATGGCACAGCTCGTTAGCACAGACCTGGAGCTTTTAAAAGCCATCCAGCAAAGGAACCCACACTCCTGCCGGGCTGATTCCACCTCTCTTGAAACCGGGGAGCTGAGCACAGAGCATCCTGAATCCCCCAAAACAGGAAAACCCCCAGAAACTGCCAAACTCACCGGGCTGGACAAATGTGGTGCCCAGAAAAGGGTGAGGGAGGCTTGGTGGGGGGTGCGATATGGGCTCAGCCTGACTGTCCCTGGCATCTTTTTGGCTTCTCAAAGTGAGAACAAGTAGCCACAGGCTTTGGTTCTGGCTGTCCCCAAGGGGAAGGTGCCCCGGCAAAGGAGCAGCAATCCTGCTTCCCGCAAGGATGGTCTTTGGTCTGCCCGGAACAATTTAAATCTATGTAGGCATTTAGAAAACTGGCAGCTTTTCTGTTGGGTAGAAGAGATCTTAGCAAGGTTTGCAGGGAAACAAGAGTTTAAATGTGGAACATCCTTAAATGAAATCCCCCCTGGGAGCCGGTCAACATCTTGAGCCAGCGGCTGCACCTCTATCCAAGGATCCAGCCTGAAATTCAGGGCTTGTTAATTGATAAACCCCAAAGAAAGGAGGGTCAGCGGTGCTCAGGGGGGACACAATGGCAGAGGGTCCCTCATCACCCGGGCATCACTTGGGCAGCTTTGCAGGAGTTTGCTGTGATTTATTTTGTCTCAGAAAGGTTGTTTTCCTCCCTTTTCTGCTCCCTCTGGTCCCTCTGCTCCCTCTGGCCTTCAAAAATGTGAGACCAGGGTGGAGAGCAGATTCAGGGGTTGGTTTTTTTTGCACTATGGCTTCCCCTACACATACCCTAAAGGCGAAGGTGCTGGGACCCCATCGCCCTTGGGACTGGGTCTCATGCTGGGCTGCAGCATCACACCAGCTCCTGCTGGGGCTCAGTGTGGCCTTAATTTGGGTCTTGCACTCTCTCAGAGCTTCCCATCACAGGCTCTGGACCAGCTGGTGGTAAAAATACCCTGTGGGGCCCCCACGGCCGGGCACGGGCACCCGCGGCTCCGCACTGCCCGGCCAGGAGGAGACATGGCATTCAGGGAGGCTGCGTGAGGCTGACCCCAACTGCTGGCAGAAAATAAGGATAAAAGGGTTTTCCACATTGAAATAAGAATAAAAAGGTTTTCCACCTTGAAATAAGAATAAAAGTGTTTTCCACAACGTAGCCCTTAGTGGTGGGCGCAAGAAAAATCAGAGTCCTTTTGCTGTTGGCTTCCCCAGAGGACCCGGTGAGCCCTAAACCCCAGCACAAGGCAGGGGCTATGAGCCGGTGTCCAAGGAAAGCCAGAAGCCCTGGCCCTGTTTAGGGGACAACGGGGACTCTCGGGAGCTGGGCTGGTCTCCCATGAATTGTCCCTAAAGTCCACAGCTTGGGAATGTCCTCCAGATCTTTCCGCTCCTGCTCATGGGCTGCAGGAAATGTTAGCACGTAGCTGACCCTTCTCCCCCCGTTCCCTCTCACTCCCGGCCCAAGGAGACCTAAAACACTGAAAATAGGATTATTCCCCTCTCAGCAGCTTTCCAGGGATCGAAGGGATGCTCAGGTGGTGGCTGGATGGTGCCAAGTACCACAGACAAGGGGTGCAAGTGGGCAAACCTCGCTGCCCCGGCAGCCTCGCTTGATATTCCGTGCCCTGCAGCGTAGGGTGGCTACAAATCCAAGGGGACAACAGGTCCCATCGTATCTGCAGAGCTTTAGGAGAGGGATGGGAGGAAGCCTGGTGGCTCCAGGGCCAACCAATGGCTTTGGGAAGTGGCTGCAGAGTTTGGCCGAGGTGGCAAGGACAAGGTGGGCAGGGTGAGAGCAGCCACCGCCGTGGGCCGATGGCTGCGGGGTCTTGCTTGTTGCCATTCTGACACCTTGGTAGCCCAAGCACATTTGGGAGGGTGTCTGCTGATTTACACACCCTCCCGGCTCGCCGTGGGAGGATAAATCAGATTTTTAAAGCCCTCATTTTAAACCTTTCACTAGCCTGCCCCCGGACCAGACCCCGCTAAGTGAAACCAGTGGCTTTAGGGCTCCGCTCGGCCCCCTGCAACGTCCCACCGGCCCCGGCGAGGCTGGGAATGGCCACCTCCTCCGGCCTCGGTGGCGTCTGGGGTTTGTTAAAGAAAATGGCTTGCACGTGGAGCCCGGGGAGGGGGCGGCCGCTGCGCGCTCCCCCCGGATTCTGACACCTTGGTAGCCCAAGCACATTTGGGAGGGTGTCTGCTGATTTACACACCCTCCCGGCTCGCCGTGGGAGGATAAATCAGATTTTTAAAGCCCTCATTTTAAACCTTTCACTAGCCTGCCCCCGGACCAGACCCCGCTAAGTGAAACCAGTGGCTTTAGGGCTCCGCTCGGCCCCCTGCAACGTCCCACCGGCCCCGGCGAGGCTGGGAATGGCCACCTCCTCCGGCCTCGGTGGCGTCTGGGGTTTGTTAAAGAAAATGGCTTGCACGTGGAGCCCGGGGAGGGGGCGGCCGCTGTGCATTCCCCCCGCAGGAGCGGGCTGGGGAGATGCGCGGAGGATGCAGGAGGAGCGGCGGTGGCGGTACGTACCCCGGCTCAGTGGGACGCGGACATGGACCAAGCCCCTTCCATCCTCCAGACGGAGAAGGCGTAGCTGAGCCTCTCGTGGGCCAGGTAGTTGCAGCTGGTGATCTTGTGGTCCAGCTCATCGCTCTGCAGGACCTGGTACAAGAAGTCTATGTAGCGGGCGGCCAGCTTGAGGGTCTGGATCTTGCTCAGCTTGTCGGAGGGCAGGGTGGGGATGATCTTCCGCAGCTCGGCGAAGGCGTCGTTGAGCGACTGGGTCCGCTGCCGCTCCCGCACGTTGGCGATCACGCGCTGCGTGTGCACGTCCTCGAAGGACTGGGGGACGGGGCTGCGCTTGCTGCGCTTGCCCTGGGGCGAGGGGGCCCCGCACTCCTCGGCCCCCTTGCCCCCCTGGCCACGCTTGCGGAGGCATTTCTTGTGCAGCCGCTCGCCTTCCTCCTCGCTGGTGACCAGGCTGCCTTCAGGAGAGTCCGGGCACATGCTTTCCTCTTTCATCTTCTTGGCACCTTGCGGGCGAAGGGCTCGAGGGTCTCACAAGGTGGGGTGGCCGCAGCACATGGGTGAGGTGGCCTGGAGAGGAGCCAGTGCCCGCTCAAGAGGTGCAGCCCGGAGCATCCACCCTTCAGCCTCCTCCCCAAACCTCCCAAGCCCTGCGGAGCCCTCCAAGGAGCCGGGTTGGTTTTTCCTTTGGGCTACGGGAGAGGAGGGCGTTCGGATAACTTTTGGGAATGGCTCTTGCTGATAGGGCGAGGAGGACCGTGGGCGGACCAGGCGCAGACCAATGCAGCCGAGCAAGGTAACGCAAACATCAGTGGAGCTTATGGGTTCCAGATTTCCTCCCTCCCTCCTCCACCGACACCCCCAAGGCCTCTGGCACAGATGCTCCTGCCGCTGCCCGGATGTCAGGGGACATTGCCTATGCTAATGTGAGCACCAGCCATGGAGTTCAGGGCAATCTTTTTGATTTTTAGACTTTTTTTTTTTATTATTAAAATTTTTTAAGCCCAGTTGACCCTGCAAAACCCAGGCAGAAATATTCACTTGTCCAGTTTGGAATAGGAGACTTTAGTCTAGGAGAGATTGAAGTGGAAATGTGGGGCAAAGGATGTTTCAGTGAGCAATACATGGTATTTTCTGAAGAAGCAGCAGTGACAGGCATCCATACTACTCTTGGGAAATGGCATAATTCAAAACTAACTCGAGTTTGTATCCATCCATCCATCCACCCACCCATCCCTCTTCCTCTGTCTACATTTCTGGCAGTCTACAACAGCCCTTATTTTACAGGTGGAAGGAAGCCAACACTCATCCACTGTCATATTCCTCTCAAATAAATATGGCAGCTATTGCAGATAGTGAGAGTGTGACAGGTCCAGACCCTGTTCCAGCCGCATCCACACCCAGTTCTGCTCCTGATTTCCCCAGGAAATCAAGCACTAGAAGCCGTATCTCTTCCTTACACCACCCCTGAGCTTGCCTACAAATAAACCTCCCTGCAGAAACGCTGGGAGAGTGCCATCTCTTTTAGCCAAGGTTGGAGGTCCAGATTCAGACTACCAAACCATAAAATATTCTGCACAGGTTCCACTTTATATTAGATTTCTTTCAGCCCTGTGTTATCACATCAGTAGAATCAGCACATGAAACTGGAGTCCATTGGTGGTGGTCCACCATCCTCCCACATCTAGCCACCAGCTCCCAAAGTCCTCCTGCACCTTTGGGAGCTCCAGTAACCTTCCCATCTCCTGCCTGTGCCCTCTGTCTCTCCAAGACAGTTCTTCTCCATCCTTCCATGGGTTTCTCTTGAACATTCTTCTTGCTGGGTGAGAGACCAAGTGAAACGTCAACCTCAAAGAGCCACCTCGGCCCCTGTCCCAGGGAGACTTGACCAATGCTGGAGGATGGGGGTCAGTCTCTTTTCCCAAGGAACAGGCAATGGGACAAGAGGAAATGGCCTTAAGTTGTGCCAGGGAAGGAGTAGGATGGATATTAGGAAAAAATTCTTCACTGAAAGGGTTGTCAACCATTGGAACAGGCTGCCCAGGGCAGTGGTGGAGTCATCCCTGGAGGTGTTTAGAAGACAAGCAGATGTGGTGCTGAGGGACATGAGTTAGTGGTGGGTTGGGCAGTGTTGGGTTCATGGTAGGACTTGACGATCTTCAAGGTCTCTTCCAACCAAAACAATTCTGTGATTCTGCGATGTTGAATCTGAGAGGGCTTTGGCTCAGCCCCATCCTCCCTGTGCTCATGTCAGGGGTGGCAACAGCCACAGACGGGAGCTGGCAGAGAGCCAACGGGTGAAAAATGTCCAGTATTGCTTAAAGAAGTAAAAGACGCTCAGAAACAGGTTGATACTCGGACCTGCTGGGATGGAGCCTGGTGACTTTGCTCCTTCCTCCTCATCGGGCTCAATGCGACGTGAGCGTCGTCAAGACAGCGACGAATATCAGATGTTCATAATGCAGAAAGACAATAGATCACAGGGGCCTGGGAAAGCGAGAGAAAACAAAGGGCGAGGAAAAAAATACCCCGGGGAGGGCAGGATTGAGGCAGGATCCAGGATCCTCTGATCCCGCGCTCGGAGGAGCTGGCTCAGCTCTGCCGAGGGCTGGGGAGCTGCCAATGAAGACCAGCTGAGGCACGGGCTTGGGCCTGGGGTTTATTTTTTTATTATTATTATTTTTTATTTTTATTGTTTTCCTTCTAAAAAAAAAAAAAAAAAAAAAAAGAAAAAAGTTTAATTTAATTTCGCTGGCGAATGGTTTCGGATGAAGGAAGTGAAGTATTTGGTATTGTTGCTGATATCCTTGAGCAAAAGGAGAAATACAATGAGCTTTGATCTGCAGGAAGGATCAGCAGAGCTCCCCGAACTGCTCGTGCGGGTTTTTTAACCCAGAATTGGATGCTTTGTGGCAAGGGTATTTTTTTTTCCCTTAAACATTTCAATTTGTTCTTTCAGAGGGTGTTTTTTTGGAAGAATATTAACATAAACTGTTCATGGAAAGGTCACGAGTCACCAAACTGGTTTCAATAACTTTGCTTTTCCAGTTAGCTGGGGATTTTGTAACGCTCGTTTTGACAGATCAGTGAAAATTTCAGACCTTAAATATGCGGAGGAAAAAAAAAAAAAAAGCCTAGCTCGCTTGATTCAGTGAGAAGCCACCAGATGGAAGACTTGAATTCCCACCACGTCCCAGCCCCTCTGCCCACCTCCCCTCCTGGTTCTCCTCCTCCGCCCTCTCCCCACTCACATCCATCTTTCCTGAGCAGCATTTTTTTCTATTTTAGGTAGGAAATGTCCCCAGCGCTGGGGTGTCCTCAGCATTTCTGAGCCTGGAAGATGCTGAAAAGGCTCCTGCAGGGCCAGTTAGCCCTTTGGAAAGAAAGGGAACGTGAAAAGCAGTAAGCAAAGAAGCTGCCAAAGCACACATGGGCAGGGGGTCCAATCCCTGGAAACCAGGGCTGAAGCACACCAGTAACTGCAGAAGGGCTGGGGGACCTCAAATGGGAGCTCTTTCATGGGGTTGAGGTGGGAGCTGAGGTTTCTTTAGAAAGGGGCTGAGGCATCCCCTTAAAACCACATCCTTTGGTGGGCTGAGAGGCCATCGTGGTCAGCCTGAGCCCATTTCTGTCTCAGCCTCACACCACCTGTAGATGTTTTCCACCAGCCTTCACTCCTGGATCTCTCTGACCCCCCTCTGCCATCTGCTTGGCTCCAAAACAAGCCAAGCCCTCTCAGTCTCTTCCCCATAAGCAGGTCTTCAAAACCCATGGTGATCCCAGCTCGACTCCATGCTGTCCCCATGGGGCACCAGGCTTCCCTCTCAGTTCCAGGAGAGTTGAACATTGGCACAAACCCTTCCTCACCTCCTTTCAGTACAACGCACCAGCTCAAACATCAGACTGTTGTCCTGGGATGTCCTGGCCTCTCTCCATCTGCCATAAGTGTTCAAGGATGGTCCACCAGAGCAAGAGGTGGTCGCTCTTTGCACAGTCTAATGGAAAGTGTGACACTGCCATGACTCCAGGTCCAACACTGTCCCAGTCAGGACATCCCATGGGAGAGCAGAGGAACCACTTACTATCACAAAGAGCAACCAAATGTATTACACCAATTTGCTTCTTATTCACTGGTGATACAGGGCACATCTTCTGACTTTCCTGAGTTGGATCTAGAGTATGGGGATCTGTCCTGACCTTGTTGGACACACTGAGCTGGGTAGACTGTGATGGGAGGAGGTCTCAAGGGGTAGATGGGTTCTTTGGGTTAATGCGCACTGGAGAAAAGCTGGTGCTCCACCACCATGGCGGTAAGGAAGGTGGACAGGAGGTTTCTCCATCCTTGGGTTTTGGGAAGGGGTTGAACCCGGGATTTTTCTTATGCTGTGTGGCATAAACCAGGGCTGCATCTGCTACAACAGCATAGAGAGGGAGATGGGGAGAGTTGGGTTCAACCCAACCAACGTCCACAGAAGCAGCGACTTGCCCTGGGTGGGCAGTGGGGCTGGGACAGGACCTACATCCCGCCCTGTGCAAAAGCCAATTTGGGCCAGGGAAGCTGAGAAAGTGCCACCCCCAGCTCCACCCTCACTTTTCTTGCTGGTAAAAGGGGGCTGCAAACCTGCCGGCCGCTGCCGAGGGCTGGGATAACGCGGTCCATGTGTGAGCCCGGCGCTGCCGATACCATCGTTTGATGGCCGAGGGCCTGATTCTGCTTGCAAATAATTCCGGGCACAAAATCAGAGGCTGAGCCTTGATGCAAGGACTTTTTTTTTTTGGGGTGGGTTTGGTGTGTGGTGGTTTTTTTTTTTGTTTTTTTTTTTTTTTTTTTGCGAGCTCCTTTTCTTTGTTAGAGAGGACAAAAATAATCTCCGTTTTATCCTGCGTGAAAAAAAAGGAGGATAACGCTAATAAATTGAGAACATTAAAGGGGAGCCAGGAATAGCCGCTGCCCCTGGAGGCTGGGGGAAGCAGCTTTGGTTTCGCAGGTTTTTCTAGTTATTGCAGTGTTAGAGTGGAAACATGTGTGGTGCGAATAAAAATGCGAGGCATCCGCCGTAGCGTGCTGTTGCTGCAGCAACCGCAGGGAATATGGGCGCGGGGGATCGTGCAGGGCTCTGGCTGTAAAAGGGAACCCGAGCGCCGCGGGGCCCTTTGATCCGGGCGCCTGCAGCTCTGATTGATGGCCTCGCAATTCATTTCCTTGTCAAAGTGACATAATGTTCCTGGAACTCGCTGAACTTTTTAAGAACTAAAAGATGTTCCCCACCAATCTCCCCCCCACCTCCCCATAGCCCCATCCATCCCTCCCGGACTTGGGGGGCAGAAGGGACGGGTGGTGGTGGATGGGGTTTGGCCAGTGGTGTTACTGGTGAGACTGGGAGTGAGTGGGGGTGCTTTTCTGCTGGGCTTTACCCCTTCCCCTGTCATGGAGTGATGGGATGAGCTTCGGCCCCGGGGCCAAGCGACGGAGGGATGCGCCGCCCGTAGATGCCAACCACCGCCCCGCGCTGACGACCATCCGCTTCCAGTTAATTCTTCCATGTGAAAGTTTTTTTGGGTGGTTTTTTGGTTGGTTTTTTTTTTTTTTTTTTTTTTTTTCCCTCCCCTTCTTCCCCATCTGTTTCCATCTGGCCTTCAAAGGAGCAAAACGCCATGTTCTGGGTCCCGCTGCCAAGAGCCTCCCCGCTC